GAAGAATGGCGATCAGGAAGCTTCTGCTACTATTGAAACCGATTGATCCGTACCCATTTCTTCAAACGGAAGGTGTATCGGTTATCAAAAACCCTAAGGTATTACCTTCCTCACTGTTTCTCATATAGATTTTGAAAATTTTCTAGCTGGATCATGTGTAATCGGGTTCGTATTGAAGTTGTTCGACGAAATTCCTAAGAGAGTAAGACCGAAACGTTGACATTTTCATGAGAAGGAACTTATTTTGGGTTTTGTCTCGTCTATATAAAATACGAACCTTTCTGCTTCCTTCTTCTTCGTATTGGGGAATTCTTGCGATCGGTGAAGAAGACTAGATGGGTAGCACCATCTCTGTTTCTTTTCACTTGCACAAAACCTTACCGGTAAAATTTGGAATATGAAATTCTTTATCTGCAATGTTGTACTCATATGTATGCAAATTAGGAGAGTAACTAAGAAATGCTTAGCCTTGTATTTCGAAAAGCTACTTTGTTATTGTTTTAGTTTCTTTCTCATGACTTGTAATGGAAAATCGAATTTTTGTTTTGTTTAACAGGTTCTTCAATATCTAGAAAGCAGGTGCAAAGTACACAGGAATGCTATTCATTTTTGTCAGGAARTACTAAATAAGAAGCCAGTTGAATGGAAACCCATTTCCCGTAACGATTTATCGCTTCCCATTCATGATGTGGATATGGTCATCACCGTGGGTGGAGATGGCACCCTCTTGCACGCTAGTCATTTCATTGATGATTCTGTTCCGGTTCTAGGAGTTAATTCTGATCCAACACAAGCTCACGAGGTTTTGTAGCCTGATTTTGCTTATATCGCCTGATACAAATTTGCGTTTAATAAAAAATGTGAAAAGAAGCTAAGTGTATTGTTGTAACTATAGGTGGAAGAATTGAGCGATCAGTTTGATGCTAGCAGAAGTACTGGCCATCTTTGTGCTGCAACAGTTGAGAATTTTGAACAGGTATGTTTGATAGAGGAATAGAAAGGGACAAATCTTTTGGCAGTCCATTTATGTTCTTGTTACTGGCCTCTTCTGATCCTTAGAACATTGAATGCATAGGCAATCTTGGTTTGAACATTTAGCCATTGTTGACAGGTACTGGATGACATTTTGTTTGGCAGAGTAGTTCCTTCAAAAGTATCGAGAATATCATTGAAGTTAAATTCAGAACCTCTTCCTTCACACGCACTTAATGACATTTTGATCGCACACCCATGCCCTGCTGCAGTTTCAAGGTTCTCGTTCAAGTAAGATCTCCTAAGACATTCTTTGAAATCTTATGATTTTGAGTAGACATGATCTTCTCTGGTTCATTTAGATAGAGTTCTTTTAGGCAATATGATCAAATGGGGGTGCACAATCTGGTTTTCGGTTTATGAATTACGAATCCGAATACCATACCATTGGTTTTGATTCAAATTCAGTTTGAGAAAAAAAAATTACACCTTTAAATTGAATTCTTTCCAAAGAAATTAAGGTTTCTATCGCTTTGTTCATGTTCAGTTTGGTTTGGTTATGCCTGCGGTTTTGTTCAGATATGGAAATATAAGACCGAACTGGTTAATCTTTTCTTTCTTTCGGTCAAACTGGATTGGAAACCCCTACAATATCCAACACTGTGAACCAATGTTCTTTACAATATGCGCAGGATTAAGAACAAAAATGGTGAGACCCTTCAAAAGACAGTGAACTGCCGCTCGAGCGGTCTAAGAGTCTGCACAGCTGCTGGCTCAACTGCAGCAATGCGGTCAGCAGGTGGTTACATAATGCCAATGTTGTCTCGTGATCTACAGTTCATGGTTAGAGAGCCAATCTCTCCCGGTTCAACCGCCACTCAAATGCATTCAGCCTTCAAACTGGACCAATCCATGGATATTAACTGGTATTCAGACCAAGGAACTATCTACATCGACGGTTGTCAAGTTCGTTACAACGTGCAACTTGGAGATACAATCGAGATATCATCGGATGCGCCGGTCTTAAACGTTTTCTTATCTCCTGTCTTTACTCAGATCAGATCAAGGTGTTAGATTTGTTCATAAAGTTAGATGGTACATGGAGAAATTCTTTTAATCCCATTTGTCTATAGATAAGGTGCTATTCTTTGGTCCGGAAGATTCGTTGATTCTTGAATCTTTTTTGGTGCTTGAAGAAGTTTTAATTGAAGTAGCCTATCTTTCTTGAACCAAGAACGTGGTTGTATCTGATCCTCGTGAATAAAATTTACTATATTTTACTAAAATTAAAATGTCGAAATCATCTAGAAATCTCTCTTTTTTCTCGTGGGAAATGTTAATTTCAGAGAAAGATCTTTTCCCTTGACCCCAAAAAAAAAAAAAAAGAGAAAGATCTTTTCCAAAATGGGACCTTATTAATGATTGATTGATTAGTGTTCTGCCTTTTTAATTAATTTGTTTATGGCTTGTGTTCTTGAAGAAAAAAATCTAGTCTTATGTAGGTCCGATTCTTTCTCTTCCACTCGTAGCCATACGTGGATTAATAGAATCTTGATATTATATCTATTTTAATATGGAGATTTAAAAAAAAATTATAATTTAATAACTAAGCAAAATGAATTATGTGGTAAAATTCAACCCATTGGATCTTAAAAAATTAGTTAGTTATTGAA